CGTGCGTGTGTGCGTGTGTGTGTGTGTAGCCAGTACATGTATTTTTTAAAAGAGGACGTACGGGAGCCAGCATCAAAGACAAGATGGCATTTGTTAAAGGGAGAAGCTGTACCTGTTTTGTTTAAATGGAACAATTACTCTCTCGCCCCATCAAGACCAAGTGTTTGGAAGAGAAAACCAAGACCACCCGAGGAAGAGACAGCCAGTGGCGTTGACACAGCTGACCAAGACAACGTCCTGACCGACCATGACTATGACATGCGTCCTCATCACACAGCACTCGAATAAAACATAACTCTGCGAGAGGAAATCGGTCATCTGAGGAGACAACAGGTGGAGAATCTGACTTTAAATCAAAGGTTCGGCATTCAGATAAAGACATGAGATTTCTTCACTTGGTAAGCCAAGTTAATTTAAAACTTTGCCAGTGTCATCGTGCAAAATGAACATGATCGGTGTCTTAAAATACACGAACATAAATATCATCGGTCATTGACAACTAAATGTAACTTGTGGAAATGTATTTCCCAAGTGCTTGTCAAACTATTAGCCGTTTGCATTCACCAGTAGTTTTGAATTCACACTTAGTGTCTAGAAGGTTGGTAACCCCTGCATGAGAATATCATTCCACATTGAAATCAAACTTTTCTATTTTGTGGCACACCTGCTGGGTCTAATATTGACACATGAAAAAATGTTTTATTAAGGTATTTAATATCTCCTCTCTTTGTTTAGGTTTGCCTCATATGATTTACTGATGCGCTTCTGGGCGTTGATCAAACCGGCTCTATCATCTATGACAAATTTTAGGCTCACTCCGAGAGGCCCCTTACCTGAGGAATATTCTGGCCATACCCTGCAGCCCATTGACGAGTGATTCATGTTCCTGAACTACCTGGCAACGGGAGCCGAGCGGTGAGACCTGACTGACCGTTACGGAGTCCACCAGGCAGCCGTCAGCCGGGTCATTATTTCATGGAGCAACTTTTTATATGCAGTACTAGGTTCAGTGAGGATTTGGATACCCCAGAAGCAGATTCGCAAACATATGCCAGCTGTTTTTGAGAATTACGCTGAAACTATCGTCATCCTTGACTGCATTGAGTTGAGGTGTCAAAGCCCTTCTTCCCCTCTTCTTCAGAGTGACGTTTTTGTCACACCGCGAGTCACACTATGGTCTGAAAGGGCTCATTGGAGTAGCTCCACATGAGGCAGTCACATTTGTATCTGCACTGTTCAGGGAATCGATAAGTAACAAACAAATTGTGCGTCAGTCTGGTCTCATATCCCTGTTAAAACCTGAGATGGCTGTCATGGTTGAGAAAGCTTTTCTCATAGATGACATTGTAGCGTGTAAGATTTATAGACCGGCCTTTCTATCTGGGAACTCTCAAATGCCATCAGGTGATGTTGAGGAGCCCTCGGCAATAGCACATCTCAGGGTGCCTGTGGACCGTTGCGTTCGACAGGTAAAGGAGCACACGTCATTTGAATCTGAGATTCCACGAGGACTTGATGGCAGCATGAATCAAATGTACACTGTGGCATGTCTGCTGACGAATTACAAGAATGGACCTCTTGTTAAAGCACCGGCAAAGACAAGTTAGGAGCTTGACACTCTGGCCCCGCTTACTCCTGTTGTTTGTAATGATTGTAATGTATTAAAGTTTTTGATGTTTAGTGTTTTCTTGTTCATGACTCAGTGCCATTTGTCATTGTGTGTAGAAGTTTAAATTTGACGATGAAAGTTGATGTTGTTGGCTACTGATTCACCTCCAAAAGGACAAAAGTACAGACATTGAAAAAAAAGAATGGATTTTTTTTTAAACTGTCAACTACAGTATATACAATACCCATTTTAATAATTTGGCATTTGACACAACAAGACAAAAACATCTTCACACAAACATAGTTTCCTCCTTTAAAATCGAGCTCGCACTGAGAGGAAGAAAAAAATCACGTTGGCTTTGTTGTTTTAAACCACAGGTGTCAAACTCAGGGCCAGACGGCCAGATCTGGCCTGCCACATCCTTTTATGTGGCCCGCCAAAGCAAATTATGTGCATCCACTTCATGTTTCTTGCTGAAATACCAAAATTGCAAACTGTCGTCACTTTTCAAAATGTGGAGATATTGCAAGCATTTTTGTTCCCACCCCCCCTTTTTAAAATAAATGCAATAATATTTGAAAAAAACTGTTTTTATTGGCCTCTGATTTTCAAAACCAATTTGTCATGCAGCCTACACGTAATATGAGACGGTTATACATGAATTTGGGTTCATAGTTCTAACGTACCTCCGTAAGAAACCATAGCTATAATGTGGCCCGTGACAAAAATGATTTTGTCACCCCTGTTTTAAACCAACAGCTAAATAAAACCAGTCTATTTTTCCAAAGGAGGAGAAAGTCGAAATGTATTCAAATGTAGGGAGTAAAATTTAATAGTCGTCAGAAAAAAAGGTGCTTAAGTAAAAAACAGATACGCCTATGTGAATAATCTCCACCGTAATAGTTTGCGACAAAGTTATGAAAGTACAAATTGACCCAGTGTGTGGTGGACATATTTATTTCCCTGTAATAACAAGCAGACATAAAAACTATATTTACATCACATTTGTGTGGGAGAAAATTATTTAGCAGTTTACTTGATTTTGTATACACCTAAAACACTGTTGCAAAATAACCGAGAAGTAATTCAGAGTTCAGCCAGCTCCTCGCCTCCCTCCTGAGCGAGGAGCCGGTCAAAGAGGAAGACCACGGCATCGGACACAAACTTCACAATCATCCTCACATTGGTCACATACCAAATTTTGTACGCGCACTCAGCCAATAGTACGAGCAGGAAGACGACCAGGAATCCAAAGAAGAAACGGTCGATGTAATAGTTGGCCTTCTCTCTGGAGCTCCACTGCTCCCATGGACGCGCCCGCCGGACTTCGTTGTATTTGCCGAAGTGCAACAAGGCCGCCTCAGCTTCGTCCACGTCCGTTTCGAGAGCCTCCGCATCCTGGCCTCCCTCGGCTCCGTGCGTGTCCGCCATTGCGCAGACTTTGAATGATGAACCTTCTTGTCTGATAACCACAATGAAAGCTTGTTAGAATTTTTTTTTTTAAAGTCTCTTTCATACTCAGGATGATCCTACCTAATTAGATTATCCTGGCAGAAGTAAGGAAGAGAAGATGAACCTGAGTTGAGGCCACTTTTGTATTGAGTGGTGTGAGAAGCGCGTTGCAGAAGTACTAAATGTAAGGCTCCTAAGATGAAGGCTGAGGATTAGAACACACTCAGCACTTTTGAAATCCCTCACTGAGGATGAAGCTGGCAGATGGTGATACTGTAAAAGAGAGCCGTGTCATTGTGAGGGTAATGTTCAGTCGTTTGAAAAGGGTTGGCAAGATCTCTGTCCAAAACATTTGGGTTTTGGTTTCAAAGTAGACCTGCTAGTGAATCAAGGTTGGGCTTCAAAAAAGGAGTAGGGTTTTGAAATAAGGGTTGAGGTTTCAAACTGTGTTTACAAACCTACGTTTGAGTTGAAGTTTGGATAAGGGTTTCATTTTGGGTTTCAAACTCTGGTTTGAAGTCTCTGGATTTTAAGTCTGGGTTTAGGTTTTAAATTATGGTTTGTGGTAAATATAAGCGTTTTAAATTACATTTTTGAGCCGAATCAGTGTTTGAATTCAAATTACAGTTTGAAGCCTGGGTTAGGGTTTCTGGTAATTTAGACATGGTCAAGGTTTCAAACGAGAGTTGGGGTTTCAAACTCAGGTTTGAATTAGGATTGGTTTCGAACAGGTTCGTGTTTATAGCCAGCGTTAGGGTTTCAAACTAGGGTTATGCTTTAAAATTTGAGTTTGAAGCAAATATTAGGGTTACAAAGTAGGATTTGGTATTCGGGTTTCTACCTGGTGACCGGTGGTCCAGTGGTTAGCGTGTTGACCTCACAGTGCAGAGGTACCAGGTTCAATTCCAGCTCCGGCCTCCCTGTGTGGGGTTTGCATGTTCTCCCCGGGCCTGCGTGGGTTTTCTCCGGGTACAGCGGTTTCCTCTCACATTCCAAAAACATGCATGGCAGGCTGATTGAACACTCAAAATTGTCCCTAGGTGTGAGTGTGAGCATGGATGGGTGTGATCTGTGTGTGCCCTGCGATCCAGGGTGTCCCCCGCCTGCTGCCCAAAGACAGCTGGGATGGGCTCCAGCAACCCCCACGACCCTTGTGAGGATAAGCGGATCGGAAAATGGATGGATGGTTTCTACCTGGGATTAGGGCTAGAAAAATTGGGCTTTAGGCCAGGGCTACGGTATTTAAAATAGGGTTCTGAGCCAGGGTTGGAACTTCAAACAAGGGATTTAGGATTCAAATGAGAGTGTTAAGCAAAAATTAGGTCTTCAGATTTGGCTTTTAAAATAGCGTTCCAAGCCAGCATCGGTGTTAGTTCCTGGATGGCTTCCATCAGGGGCGTACCAAATGTTGCGGTTAGTGCATCAGCTCATCAAACAAGTTTTGTGCTGCTGAACCCGGAGCCCACGTCAAAGCCAAGCCAAGCTGAGCTGACGCATCTCCCCAGCGCAGAAGAGGATGAATCACTGCAACGTGACGCTGCTGTGGCTTCATTCAAATGCGTCCAAGCCTTTTCAGTCGCCGACCGCAGTCGAAGGACGTGATCCAGTTGCTGCACCCTGTAATCAACTGAATTGCTGCTAATAGACTGCATGCCAAAATGACGTCACCAATGATACTCTTGCAATTTCAAAACAGGATTTCAAGATAACGTTAGTTCTTCAAATAAGCGCTGGGCTTTCAAATTAGGGTTCAAACCTGTGTTTGTAAGTAAGGAATTGACATTTAATATTTGTGTTTACACAAGGGTAAATAGCGATGTTTTCTTTATTCTGGTAAACTTTTGTCAGCCCGTGTACATTTACTGGACACTTCATTCGGTACCCCTGCATCTGAGCTGTGTTTTGGTTTGGTTCTGTATTATAATTCAATGTGACTCGTCATTCAATCGTTTCAAAACAATTACCAGACAGATGATGGAAACGGTGGACAGCAGGTGAACACGCCTTACGATTTTTTTTTTCTTTCAACATTTAGACTGGGATTTATTGTGTGTGTATTTCAATAAAACAAACAATAAATGAATCTGTGTTGAAATGAACAGTGTCAAATTTATTACACATAAATGTTTTGGTCTTACAGGTTAGTCTTTCACTAAAACAAAAGTAAAGGAGCTATGAATTGATATGAAAAACAGTTTATCTACTTCAATTAGTTAACTTTTGGACTTGGAGTCTTATGACAGCTTCACAACCTTCTATCAAACAAGTTGTGGCATTCTTAGTCAGTAAATCATAAATCAGATGACATTAATAATGCAAAACAAATCTTATCACTTCAACATTTCATGTGCCATGAATCCATGATATGTAAACATGGTGACTGCACGTCTTCAGCACTGAATTTATCAAGACACCATATAAATAAATACATCAGACAAATATATAAGAAATAAAGCCTGCCCGACTGACCAAAAAGAAAGGTGTTTATTTATTTTTTTATTTATTTCCAAATTGCAGCCTTTGCAATTTAAAAATTGGATTTGGCTACATTGTGATGTTGATTTGTATTGAATTACTATCAAATAACCACCACAATATGAGAACCGCTGCTTTAATGTGTCACTGAATGGGCCCGCGTTCAAAGCCAAGAGAGCCTCATTGACCATCCGCTTCACGCTGCAGACCTTGCGGCAAGCCCGCATCCACTTTCTCGGTGAGTGCCGGTGTGCTGCCTGGATACGGGCTTGCCCCCGCGCCACCACGGCACGCCATGCAGCCCCGCGCCACTTCAAACAGCGTGTCCCGGAAGCGTTTGATCCGGAAGGCATACACAAGCGGGTTGAGTGCCGAGTTGATGTGTGACATAAAGATGCCCGTGTACACGGCCATCTTGGGTGTGGTGCGGCCCGGGTGGAAGAAGTCGAGGCAGTTGACGATGTGAAGCGGCAGCCAGCACGCGGCAAAGAGCAACACCACCAATGCCAGTGACTTGGCTAGCTTCAGCTCCTTCCGGTAGTAGCGCTCACCGTCCGCTGTGGCTTCGGCCCGCCGGTTGAGCCGCTGGCGGATGACGCGGAATATCTCGGCATACAGTACCATCATGACGGCCAGTGGCACCACCACCCAGCCGAAGAAGTTGAAGTAGACCATGTAGTCCATCCGCATGACAGCGGTGAACTCGCACACCATGTAGTCCGAGCCACTCAGGTTGCCCAGCACGTGCCGGTTGTTCCAGCCCACCATGGGCACCAGGCCTGCGAGGAAGGAGACCAGCCAGCAAAGGCACACGGCCACATATGCACGCCTCTGCGTCACGATGGTGCTGTACCTTTTGAAATCACAGTCCGGAACCAATAAAACCATCAAGTGAGACAGCTGCTGCCATTTAACAGACTCCCGCCAATGTCAGTTATTTGGGCAGACATTTTAATTTTGCTGAAAGCCTACGATGTACAGTGCATTGATCGTCCAAAGGATATATGATGCTCTGGAAGGCGTAAACAAGAGGAGTTGACTGCCTCTCTATTGATCATATGGGTAGGTAGAATGAGCTGATGTTTGCTTTTTTGATGATGATAATAATAATAATAATTTTAAAAAAATGATCTTGACACGCCTTTTGAGACTCTCAAGGACACCGTACATGAATTAAACAACAGTTAAAATCAGAATTATGCAGAAAAAAAACAATTAAAGCGCAGTGCAGTTACAGTGAGGAAGTGATCTTAAAGTGTATTTTGTGTTTGAATTTGAAAGTGGTAAGAGATTGAATTTAGTGGTCAGGTGGCAAAGAGTTCCCGAGCAGAGGAGCAGAGCAGCTGAAGGCCCTGCTCCCCATGGCATTGAGTCTGGCAGATGGAGCAGTCAAGTACATTAATGGAGGAGAAGGATCTGAGGGCACACACTGGAGTGGGGATGCGAAGATTAGACAGGTATGAAGGGACAAATTGTGAATGGCCTTGAAGGTATGAAGGTGCAGCTAAAATTTAATTCTGGATTGTCCAGGAGCCAGTGAGGTGAAAAGGCTATGGACAAGGATAGACGCAGTCGGGGTCATTGGGGGTGAGTGAGAGCCAGAGTCGGTTGGTAGGTGGAAGTCAGGTGACCGGGTAATGTTATTGGTATGCTTGTAGAATTATATCATGCTGTCAAGGGTGACACCGAGATTCTTAACCTCAGGGAAAGGGGAAACTAGGGAGTTTGACAACCGAGATGGAGAAACTGCCAACTTAGGAAAATATACATATTGTACCAAACAAAAGAACTTCTGTTTTGTCACTGTTAAGCTTCATGAAGTAAAAGGTGAACCATGTGTTGATTTCTAATAAACAGTAGGTCATGGAGGAAGAAGGACGTAATATTCAAGGAGAGGTAAAGCTGGGTGTAAAAGCATATTCAATTTATGAAAAATGGTGCCAAGAAGGATGAAACAGATCATGAACATCACGGGGCCCAGGACAGAGCCCAGGGGCACAGCTGAAGTAACTGGATGGGGGTCGTATCAAAAGAACTTTAGCTGGAAATGAATGCGGTCTTGGGGCTATAAATTGAACCAGTTGAGAGCAGGGTGGACAATGATGATGGAAGAGAGTCTATTGAAGCGGATGATGTGTGAGACGGTGATTAAGCCTGCGAGTTTCACACGAGGGTATTGGTGCCAAATTAGGGTTTCAAACTAGAGTATGGTTTTCAAATTTGGATTAGGAATACTGTTATGGTTTCAAGACAGGATTTGACGTTCCAAAAGTTCAGAACCTTCCAATTAGTCCAACAATGCTTCACAAGTAATTGGAAACCTTGCAGCATGCCAGGAAACTTAATAGAAAACCCAAATCATGGTGAGAGGAGCAAACATGCGGGCAGCTTTTTTTTCTTTTTTTTTTTTTCCCTTCACCTGATAGGTATCTTGACTCTCAAGTAGCGGTCGATGGCGATGGCCAGCAGCGACAAGATGGAAACCTGAGTGATGATCACCAGCAGGCAGGACAGGAACAGGCAAGTGTAGAACTGCGTAATGATACCCAGGCTGATGGTGACGGCCAGCGGGATGACCAGGATGCCCACCGCGATATCGGCCGCCGCCAGGGACACGATAAAACAGAAGGTGGTGTTCCGCAGGTCCCGGTTCATGCAGACCACCAGCACCACCAGCACGTTGCCCACCACCGATGCCAGGGCGATGGCCGCCTCCATCGAGACGTACACTGTGTCCGCGTGCTCCCGGACCTTCACCTCAGGAGAGGAGGCCATAGTTCACCCCTATGGATGCGAATGGGCTAAACTCCTGGCTTCCACTTTTCTAGTGTCCATCATGTTCTTATGTTGGAGATGCCGAAAGCAGGCTGCACAGATTCTGCAGGGTTATCTCTGTCGCTCTCTCAAGACTGTTAATGCAGGCCAGTGACTGAGGGGAGGGACGCTGTTTTCTGCAGAAGTAGTTAGAATTGTGTGTGTGTGTGTGTGTGTGTGTGTGTGTGTGTGTGTGTGTGTGTGTGTGTGTGTGGGTGTGTTCTCGGAGGATGTGGTCTCAGGGTAATTACAGGAAGGATGCTTTTTGGCAAGGCTTTATGAATATAACTTATAATTGGTGATGGATGCATTAGCGTTGATTGCTACACGCAGACACATAACGATAAGCAAGTGAGGCAACGTCGAGAAAGTATATATATATATAGATATATATATAGCTATATATATATATATAGATATATATATACACACACAGATCAATAGATAGATAGATAGATAGATAGACTGATAGATATACTGTATAAATACTGTATCTATAGTTAATTTAAAAATAAAAATAAATGTACAGCATAAATATTTTTCATTTCATTCACATTTTATTACCTTATTCACTGAAAAAAACATTTCAATACAAAAATGAAGAAACACATTCAATTAACCAATTTTGGGACCAAAAAACCCCCAGCAAAATTAAAGCAGCTAATGTAACAGGACTCTTGATAAACTAAATGTTGGGTCAGTCAATTTACAGAACAGAGAGTATAGTCCATTCCTGCTTTATAAGCTCATACTGTATAAACAAAATGTCTTCGAACACAGGGGTCCCCAACCGCCGGTCCGTGGACCGGTACCGGTCCGCAGGGCATTTGGTACCGGGCCGCACAGAAAGAACTTGCCTTAATTCCGCTTTACTGTATTTATTTCGGAATACGAAAGATGTTTTATTTAGAAAAATTACCGGATTCTCCGTTACATCCGTCTGTGTCATGCTTGACTCACGTCAAGCCACGCTTCTCAGTCACGTGACCGATAACGCTAAAAACAAAACGCTGGAGCTCGCAAAATGAGTAAAAAAAACTGCTGAAGATCGCAAATGACGGCGGCCTTAAAAGTATGTTCGAGACAACTGGATTCAAGTTATGGCTGAATACTCTGAGATCCCCATAATAGCACTGTTGCTATTTCCGACATACTACCTGTGTGAGGTGGGGGTTTTCTGCAGCAACGGCGACTAAAACAAAATTACGAAGTAGACTGGACATAAACCACACACTTGAGGTGTCATTGTCTCCTATTACCCCGAGATGGGACCATCTGGTTGCAGAATATTAAGCTCGGGGCTGTGGTGAGTCGTCATTTTCATGCACTTTGAATTTGCGTTGTATCGTATTTTGAAGACATTCCACATTGCCATAGCGATCAGAGTGTTGCGACCAGATTAGACTCTCCTTGTGTTTATTATTATCTCTCAAAAACATCACAGTGTCCATGCAGTTCTTACCATATTATTTTGTAGTATTTATCCGCCACACCTTAAATGCTGGTCCATGAAAATATTGTCTGACATAAACTGGTCCGTGGGGCAAAAAAGGTTGGGGACCCCTGTTCTAACATATTTTATTTTGCCATTACGCAAACAACCACCAGGAGGTGGTAGTGCTGTTGATTTACGTTACAACATCCTCAGTGAACACAGCATTCTTGATCCCTTGACTATTCTTGTACAGCGCTTTTCTACCTTACGAACTCAAAGCGCTTAACACTGTCAACTCATTTACCTCCTGATGGCGCAGCATCAGGAGAAATACGGGGTCCAGTTCCTCGCTCAAGAACACTTTGACTTGGTCATATTTGGCCAGCCCCCAAATCCCCAATCTATGGGTTGTGACACCTCTCTCTACCATTGAGCCATGCCGTTTCAGTGCAACTCCATCCATCCATCCATCCATTTTTTGAACCGCTTAATCCTCACAAGGGTCACGGGGCGTGCTGCAGCCTTTCCCAGCTGTCTTCGGGCAGCAGACGGGCGACACCCTGAATTGGTTGACAGCCAGTCGCAGGGCACACAGAGACGAACAACCATCCAAGCAAGCTCACACTCACACCTAGGGACAATTTAGAGCAGGGGTCCCCAACCTTTTTTGCACGACGGACCGGTATGAGTTGGGTCTTTTTTTTCACGGACCGGCAAGGTGTAGCAGAAAAATATAGCAAATAAAAAAACACGACGTGGCTAAAAACAAATAAAGGGAAAATATAACTCACCCGCCGAATTAGTGGGAGGCCTGCGCTTGTTTCGATGAGACAAGATGGTCCCATCTCGGTGTGATGGAAGACAGTGAGACACGTAACGTGTTCCTTACGTCCAGCCTGCTCCATAACTTTGTCTTGTTTGCCGTCATTGCAGAGAAGCCCGGTTCGCACAGATAGGACGTTGGAAATTGAAGCAAGGTTTTCAGCGCTCTTGTAGCGATGTCAGGATATTCCAGAATGACTTTAATCCAAAAACTTGGGAGAGTGTTTGTCTCAAATGTACGTTTGAGGTCGCCGTCATTTGCTATTTCAACAAGCTGATCCTCCTGTTGCACAGACATGCTCAAATCGCTTGGCTTGTTCACAAATGGGTCACGAATCCACTCCTTCGCAGTCCGTGGGTCTTTCCTGCTTGGGAAGTAGCGCTCAAACTCTTGTGAAAGTGTCGACAGGTGTTTGCGAACCAGCTGAGAGAATGCGCGTTCAGGTGATGTGTCTTTCAGAATCTCCGCAACTGTATGAAACATGTCAAATATCCCTCCATTCACTCGCTGCTCCCACAATTCCAATTTGGCTTTAAATGCAGCTATTTTATCTGCCAACTTAAATACTGTTGTTCTTGTTCCTTGCAGTGACAAATTTAATTCATTGAGCAGATTAAATATGTCGCACAGGTAAGC